CACAACACAGGCACGAGTTCCAAATACACAATCAACTCCGAATACGTCACCAGCCGCGAGATCGACACAAACACCGTACACTTCACCGGATCCGAACACGCCACACACGTTATCAATTCTGAATATTCCATCGACCCAAAACGACACCAACCCCAAACGCCCCAACAGCACCTTACACACCGGCAAATACCGCAGCATCATCAACGACGACAGAGCCACCAATGATCACGCCACCAACATCGAGAGTGTCGCCTCTCCGAACAGACAGTAGACAAGGGCAGGGTCATGTGTGGATCGACAAGCGCATCATGTGGGCACGGGTGACGAAGACAACGAGACGAAGACGGCGAAGATCTTGTGAAGGGCCAAGCGCGGTGAGTACAGAAGGTGCCAGTGAACAAGATCCTACCGTTCACACGTCAGTGTGCGGAAGGTGCATGTGGTGATCGGCTATTGAGCCGTGTATGAAGTAACGGCCGACGAGATGGAAGGCGTGTACAAGGATAGCGACGACGGTGAGGTTAGTGCAAAGGGAGATGAGCGAGTGTGGCGATTACAAGGGCGAGATGTCATCGGTTGGCAAGACCGGTTGAAGAGCGTACAGCCGGTGAGCGGCCCTGCTGGAGGGTGGCTACAGCTGCACTATCGCAAGTGGCGGAGACGAAGGACTAGTGGAAAGAGCGGTCACTGTGAGACATGTGCCGACGAGAGTACTGTCGAAGGCGTGAGCTGCGAAGCAATCCGTCACAAGAAGAGCGCGATTGTCGGTCTGGAGATAGCGTAGAAGACAGACAACCTAACACAAAGTCAATAAACCGAAGTTGTCATCCGAGTGCCTCAGAGTCAATAAGAAGAGGGCTGTGAAGCCGTCGCTACTGTTCAATCAGAAGAGAAAGAGAGTATCGTTCTTGGCCAACAAGGGCACCGCTTATTATGCCATCAGCAGTGTGATACTCCGAACAAACGATCAACAACATGATCACCACCAACTTCGAGATCTTAACGTCTGTGTTCTGTTTGATCTGCATTCTTCTAAACAGTGAGAAATCTCTACAGGACGTACTCTTTCTTTTATTTCTCCTAATTGAAACCGACAGACAAATTACTGGGGTTATGAATATTTTCCAATAGATAATCAAAGCGAATAAGACTCTCCAGAAAGAATCGCAAGCTTTGTTCAAACTTTGATGCTACGCAATGGACTACAATAAGACGAAGCTAGCGGGTACAGCAAGACGACGATTTCGCAACGTTGCAAGCAAATATGTACTTAAAATTGTGAAGAAGGTTGTGTGGAGGAACTAACGAGCACAATGAATTTTGCTTGCTCTATAATATAAAAGGAACGCTACCACAACAGACGGTCCTCGTTCCATATGACAAGTTTGAATTCGCAATCTTGTGAAAGTTCTGTGTTGCTGGTGTTAGAGTTGATATTCCTCGGTTTGTGGTCAGAGTGCTTGACTATTCGGATCGCCGGTTGTCAGGGAATTAGGGACCTGTCGTTGCCCACCGTTGAACTTCCTTGTCGGGAGTCGGGTTGCAGTTAGGTCCAAGTATAAATGTTCGCCGAGAGCCTGGAAGCCGCAGCGTTGGGTCAGACTCGACCGCCGACATGAATAACTTGTAATTACAATTTCATAGTGCTCCAAAACTTCTTTATCTACGACAGAACAACCAATACTCGATGAGATCGGGCTTTGTACGTGTAAGCAACGGAAACACTTGCCGTAATTTAAGGCTTTATTGCAACACATGTAAAAAGTCACTCTCTACAAGAAAAAAATGGCGGGGCTTTATGCGCAAAAATCAACTTTAGTGCTGAGCCAACAAATAAAAATTTGCCCTCGAAGATGACTTCAGTCATTCTGCTTTTCTCGCCCATGGTTGTAATGGGCTCACTGTGTGCCCACTACTTCGGCTTACACGTTAGCGGACGTGTATGAGGAAGCGTAGTTTGCTTAAACTTAGATTAACTATACTTACGTCTCGTAAGTATAGATGTACTTAAATAAGAAAGCAAAA